GAAAGGGCACTTGACAAAGTAAAAGGGGTACATTTCAGATTTGAATAGGGGCAATTATCGGAGGTAAAGCGGCACTTTTAAGAGGTGGTAAAGGGCGCTTAGAATGTGGATTAGGCATCTATTGGAAAGAAAAAGGGGGATTTTTCCTGAAATTAAAAGGGGGCACTTTTCCTATGTAATAAGGGGCAATTTTCGGGTACTCGAAAAAGTGCCACGACTGCCCTCAAGATCTGATATTATCTGATAGGAAAACCACGATTACTCCACGATTAAGACCACGATTTCAAACGAGGCGCCAATCGTGATAGTGGGAAAATAGCATTAATAACAAGCCTTATTATGCTTTCTTAGCAGCCGGGCAAAATAACCACCACTAAGCCACCACTTACAACCCACTTACCCACTAACTATTATGTGCAACAGAATTACGTATTAAAGCAGACCCCCTCCCATTTTTTTTTCCGGGAATAGGTGAATTAGTTGGGTAAATTATTTAAACTTGGTAGAAAAAACCTTAATGTTAATTAATTTAACCGTTATAAATTTTTCACTATTATGAACTCACTGGTATTCTAATTTTGTTTTAAAAGTACTTTGTCCCATTTGCAGGCCCAAAATGAAAAGTTTAAATTCAATGGTATTCGAAATATAATATTCATTTATAACTTCCTTAAAAACAAAAGGGCTTGAATATGTCTTTAGGTGGGAAAATAACGACCATTAGTTGTCGAATCGACATTAATTGCAATCATTAAAGTAATAGTCTGATTTTCAGACCCTTGTACCGAATGGTCGTACGTTTTGTGCTGCGCGAAGATTTAATCAGTTTACTTTTGGCCATTGCAAGAATTGGGTTATTGATGTAGAGAAATGCTCATGTACCATTCACAGCTTATTTTATATATGTTATTAACAAAGAAAGAAAAAATAGAAGTCAGTCAGTCACTCAATAGTGTCTGACAGTGAAGTCTAGAAAGTATTAAGCAGGTTTAATACTAATAGCAGGTTTCCTTACGTGATTTGAATATAAGGACACTGTTAACAATTAAGTTTCACAGATAGGACATACGTGACATGTTTATGATTCCTGCAAAGTTCTACAGAATTTGATGTTGGCTGCAAATGTTGGCAGGCATTAGAATTGTCATAGATAAGAATAAGAGCAATACCCAGCACTTTGAAGGGATTTGCTGTCTGAAAACAGTCAACTATCCCTTTAATTCATATCTAGACCATGAGAGGGAGCTATACAACACAAAGAGTTTATTATTAACAATTTCAATAAACGTTAAACTCGATTTCAACCGCGACAACGCTCACTGAATATTGTAAAATCAATATCTTCAAATATGCTTATTTGAACCATATTCATGTCCCAATACCAAAACTTTGTATTACCTTTAAACACTTTTTAAATTCAGTAGCTTAAATAAGAAGAAAAAATGCTATATGGTAATGATGTGTAAGGCCGATATGGAAGTTTTCACGATTTTACTGCATTGTAGAGTCATAACATGAAGCTTAATGAATTAAACGTTAACATTGATCAATTACTATTTCTGTATAACTCAAAGATAAAGAGGTATTTGTTACTCTCAAATATTAATTTTGTTCCTTTATCAGATCATTTTCTTTCTTAATCTTACATACCTTTTTCTTAATTGATAACATGTACATCTTCAATGTCGCTCATATAGTTGGAATATTTTTTTTAACCTCAATTCATGGAATTATTTTGACAATGATTTATTCCTTAAAGGGGGCAGTTCCCACAAATAAAAAAAACAAAGAAAATGCAATAAATTTTCAATAATTCATTGAATCCCCCCGGTCCCCAACATAAAATAAATCTTCTTTGTGCCCTTTTCATGGGGCATTGATCCTCATTTATTCATTTATGACTCAAGGGCGTAGGTCCCCTAGTTGATAAGCATAGTAGCATACACATGCCTTAGCAGTCACGCAAAACAAACACTGGCAAATTATTATTCAATAAAATCTAAGAATGTATACTATTATCTAGATCTATAAGGAATATATCATTGTCAAAATAATTCCATAAATTGGGGTAAACAAAAGATATTCCAACTATATGAGCGACAGTGTATAATATATGGAATGTTATTGCCAACAAAGGTATTTTTAGAAAGCATGCTTCCGGCCAAATTAGTTGCTTGTTGCCAGAATTTTTAAGAGCTGATATTTGCGAATAGTCTTTCCCAAATTACACTCGAAAAGTGATTAGGAGCGGAGTCCAATCCGGGTAACGGGGCATGGGGGCAGTGCATCTTTTAATATTGTTTTGTACATGTACTACATACATGTTTAAAGTGTTTTACTTAGGTTGTTATCATTTATTCAAAATGGTTCATAATTTCGTATGTCAATCAATAAAGTGTTTACGGTAACATATATATTAAAAAAAAATATTACAGCCAGAAAAAGAGAAATGAAAAGTGAGAATGGGGAAGGGTGAGAAGGAAGGACACCTGAAGCAAATCCTGCCAAGCCCCTTCCCTTTGTCGTTAGTTTTGTATTTACACTGTTCGTTTTCAGTAAGACCTGTGACCCCCTCAATCATTCCATCCACCGGCCCCTTAAAGTGACTCGGTAACATTGTCTCAGATTCTGAAACAAAATTCTGGAATTAGCTCATGCTGCAATCATAATTATAAACCTTTAGGTCAGTCAGGAATCCCATGACTTTTACAAGCCGATCGCCTGTCTGATTATCAAGATATTTATGATTGGAAATCGACATTTCAAAATTCGTTTTCCTAACGGTATTCGTAACACTATAGTCTATTGGGGAAATGTGTATTGGAAAACCGGTCACTCAAAGACATTTTCTTTTTTTGGGCACTTCATGATCATTTTGAAGCGCATTTTTCTTTAGGGCTTCATTATTACACCATATCACAGACACTGATAACACGTCGGGCCATGCACTCAACAAAAAAATTGCTAAATTTAGCACTTAAAGATTCAATTTTAGCACTTTTTAGGAGCTCGCATAGTGACTGCACTCGAAGTGCTGAGTTAGCACTTGCACCCGGGCTACTTTGCTAGCACCCAAAGGAGCTGACTGTTGTGCTAAATTTAGCACTTAAAGATTCAATTTTAGCACTTTTTAGGAGCTCGCATAGTGACTGCACTCGAAGTGCTGAGTTAGCACTTGCACCCGGGCTACTTTGCTAGCACCCAAAGGAGCTGACTGTTGTGCACTTAAAGTGCCAAGTTTTGCTCTCTTTTGGGTGCTAGCAGAATAGCCCTTGTGCAAGTGCTAACTCATGCGTTGTTTGACATGCCCCATCTACATTTGGTATGTGGTCAAGGTGGATGTCCTTCGTCATTTACCACTTTCAACTCTTACAGGAAACATTTATTAAACCAACATCCACAAGAAGAACCTGAACCTGAAGTTGTACAGGGTATGGAGGGTCTAGTTGATGCTGATTTGGGTGTTGCTGTTGGTGAAGTGCATAATCCTGCAGCAGATGATGCATTTGATGATGATGATGATAGGATAGGCCTACTACAAGAACAAGATGGAGCAATGCATAATGACAGTACAAGACACTATGAATATGACAGACAATGAAAGCGGACAAAATATACAGTTCCTTAGGTAGACAAAGGAACATCCCTTCACTGCTATTATGTAAAAATGTGTAGAACAGGTGTCACATGCATATTCACCTGTTCTACACATTTTACATAATAGCAGTCAAGGGATGTTCCTTTGTCTACCTGAGGAACTGTATATTTTGTCCGCTTTCATTGTCTGTCATGTTCATAGTGAGACCAGCTGCATTTTTCATTGGTTCTCTTTTATCAAACACCAACATGACCCATGCTATGACAAACAGAGTGTTATCTGCTGCAACAGCTTTGAATACTGATGTTGTTGACAGTTTAAGGAGCAAAGTTATTCAGACCTTTGAGGCCTTGGGTATTGACCTGGAGAATGAAGAATGTAAGAATCTCTTAGCTGAATTTGATTCAAAAACAAATATTCACAAGGTAACAGCTATTATACTAACCGACCAATCAGATCAGGTTATGCAGTCAGCACTCGATGTTAAGTGCTGCATATTGTTATAGCACTCGTTTTCTGCACTCAAATATTCAGCACGTTTCGGTTTCCTTGTTAAAGTTAACCCGTCAAGTGCTGATTTTGGCACTTCAAGTGCAGAATCTCACTCAGCACCCAACATTTAGCACCTCAGTTTTTTGCGTGTGCTGTTAAATGAGCAAATTCCTGTTTACATAATTAATGTGAAGTTGCAATCAATCACACACAACAGTTTATTAATGTTTCCCGCGACCTCCTCTGAAATCTGCTCTGTACATAACATTTCATAAACTAAATTTTCTTATTTTTAAACGGAATTTTCTCAAACTTTCTCTGACCCGTTCCTCTCATTTTTCTGCTTCTATCAAAACCTGCTTAATATTAGGGTGGACTTCCCCTTTGAATTTAATCTCTTAAAGAAAGCTATGATTATGATTGATCCAACGATGCAATAATTTGACAGTTTTCCACGAAATTTGAACAAATACCTTGATGCGTGCATCCAGCCAAAAGGTGTCCAATATTATAATTATAATTCACTTATGATTCCTTTTGCATCGCTGCATGCATAATTATTTATTTGTCTACCTACCCTTCAACTGTCGTTCTGATCATATTGCTTAATAAATGAGCAATGGTGTAAATTGTGAAAAAAATATCGTGTGAAATTATAAAATATGAAATGACAACCTAATTAGTCAACAATATATGTTTTCGAGAAGGAAAATTAATATTTTATTGACTTTTATTCTCCAACTGTCATTTTGAAATATCACTTAATTCCAGCCTTGTGTTTTCTAGATCATATGTCAAACTTCATTTTGCATGTATGAACCTGCCCCCTCCCCAAATCTCAAATCTGATTGTTTTAAGATCCTATGAAAGGAGACGATATGACTTGTTTCATCATTAACTCATCAACCATCAATACTTCACTAGCTCTAGATTCAAAGCATCCGACTCTACAAAACATCTAAAATGGCTTCAATGGTACGTATAATTTTCGTCTAATAATCTATTCAGGCACAATTTAACCTTTTGATGACGTTTAGGTGTTATTCTCTTTTTTGGTAGAATACTACGAATACCACATACTAGCCTAATATTGCTTAGAACTAGTATGCATTAAAAAAAAAGGTAATATACGAAATAATCATTAAATCATCTCCTAGCAAACGGTATATGAGTTTATCTTTACTATTTGATAAACCGGTTGTAATTTTTGTTCCAGTATTTTGCAGTTTTCTTTTACATAATCGTCACTCTTTAATACATGTATGTGTACGTTTTAACTCTGACTCTAGAATGTTCGGGAGAAAGAAAAATATGTACAATTATATTTGGTGTCAATTTGAGGAAGCAAAAGGGATTCAATCAGATCATGGAACTTCCTAGACCTCCTCTGAAATTAGCAAGCAGGCTCACTCCCGGGATAATAAATATTCCATGACAAATAATGTATATTTACACATTATCAACTCCAAACAATAATTAATGTTATCATATATTTTATTTCCTTTCCAGGTAAAGGTCCTGTCCGTATGTCTGTGTCTCATTGTCTGTGTTGCACTGGAAGTCAAAGGTAACAGTTTAAATATATCAACATTTGTTTTATTTATTTATTTTGTTGTTGTTGGGGGGGGGGGGGGTGGGATCATACTGCATATACATAATTGGGGTGTGGGGGTTATTGGGGCTGCAGCTCCTGACAATATTTCCTGTATTCGGACCAACGTCACCATATTATTCCCACAGCAGATTGTTCCTTTCGTATTTTGTATTATATATATATATATACATATATATACATATATATGTTGATGACGAGATTAAATGTTCACGAAAAAAGTGTCACTCGCTTCACTAGACCCTGACAAAAACACAAAATTTACTAGAAACGTTTGGGCAAGAAGTTTCAGCAGAAGTAGTCACTGAGCAAAATATGAAGCAATACGTGTTAGCTCTAAAAGATCATCCTGTCTCAAAGAAACATATATTTTGCCATCGTAAATATTCTGCCAGTTTGCGATGCGTTTTAGTAAACCGTGAGAAAAAAAGGATTCAAAGAAAGCAAAATTTGAAAACAAATTTTAGAACCAGATTTCTTAAAGTGTCATTAATTCCTCCTAATTATAGCCCAAACCACTGATCGCACTTCGGAGTTTCAAGCCCTCTGCGATAGATACAGAACAGTGATGAACGACTGTGAAGAAAGACTTCTAGAGGTGGTGACTGCCGATGAGCTGGCTTTGGTGAATTTAGTCGAACAAAATAAGGTGTGTTTGGAAGAGGAAGGTGAAACGAAATTTACGGATGCTTGTGAGATCTTGGAAGAAGTCTGTATCCGAGTTGTGTCCTGCCCTGCTACAGGTGAGTCTTGTTCAGGGGCGGATCCACGTAGCGATTATTCCGGCCCGCCCCCCCTAGCCCCCCAAAACGATAAGAAAAATAGGATAATAACGTAAAGTTAACCTTTATAAAACAAAAAACAAAAGCGCCCCCCCCCCCCCCCCCCCCGCTTATTCGCCGGCCGGCTGAGTCGGCACTAAATTTTGTATTCAGATTTGGCTACCCCCCCCCCCCCCATATGAAAACGTTTGCTTCGGTTTGTCTCATAAAAGAAGTTGATCATAAACTGACTCCCACACGGTGTTGAGTGCTCAGGGGTTACGGGACCACCGCCTTCATCGGGCAGGTAGTTCCATTATGTGAATGGGTAAATTAACTATTACAAAATGAGGGGACAAATTACATTGTACAATAGGGACACAAATTGTTTTTATTGTGCAGAACATACTCTTTTATTTGACTTACTTATTGAATGATACTATAAAAACAAAATGCAATTTTGTAGTCTAACAATTGGAGTACAAAGAATAATAACAGCCATGAAATGCATAAACACCAAACACCTGGGAAGGAAGCATTCATAAATTTTGATACATATAGTTGATAAACGGCTCCGCATGAAACTATAAAAACCAAAATGTAATTTGCGTTCTGGCAATTGGAGTACAAAGAATGATAGCAGGTGAATGAAATGCTTCAACAACATAAACACCTGGGAAGAAAGCATCCATAAATTTGAATAATTTAGTTGATAAACGACTCCGAATGTGGACGTTTGGTGGAGCAGAAAGCAGTGGATTCTTAACAACACGAACCCATTCAACAGAATGTCGGAACGTAAATTAAATTTGGCGCGGTTGGAAAATGCATCTTTCTACCCTGCGACTTTAATAGTGCGATCCAGTAAATTAAAATAGTAAAATGGCTCTAACTTTAAAATTACCTATTACATAAAAACCAAAACTTCAGTGATATCAGACAAAATATATTATATATTACTAATAATTAAAAAAGATGCATAAACATTGTGAAAGTGTAGCATTTTACGATAAAAGACACCGATTTAGCGAAGATGACGTCATCAGAACCTGTTTATGTGCGCTTGCATCAGGGAATTCAAGGTCAAAAGGTCAATTCAGACGCTGATAAGTTTTTTGTCAAACCTTTTTGTTTCCTTTATTCCTACAAAATTATACAATCAATCAAAACAAGTTTAATACCAGAAGAAAGCTAACGATTAGTATTTTCATTAACCGCTTGCCCCAAAGTCGCTTGACCAAAGTGAAACGAGTGAGAGCTTGCGAGAGCGGCCAAAGTGTGATTGAAACTCGCTATTTGCTCTTCTCCAACGCAAAAAGAGACGACATTGTGCTGGATAAATACTTTTTTTCCGACAAAAGTACAGAAAATTTGCACATGGTTTTTTTATATTAAACTTTATGAAATGTTAGCCGAGTGACTTCCGGGCGCCCCAATGCTGGAAAGAGACGCACATTTTAGAAAACTTCACTTTTTAATGGAAAAATGCTTATTTGTTCTATGCACGCAAGTCAGATTGAGCGGATGATACAACGTTTCCATATGCCGCTTATTCACTGGTGGCTGAGTCGCAACTAATATTTTTTTCACGGATTGGCCCCCCCCCCCCCCCCATCCCCCTCTTCCCGCCGGCTGGATCCGCCACTGGTCTTGTTAAAGTCAGTTTCGAGTGAGTTTTGGTCATAATTTTATGTCAAACGCAACATGTCAGAGCGCATAGCGGGGGATGTAATTAGAGTAGCATCAAACTGAGAGAGAGAGAGAGAGAGAGAGGGGGGGGTGGGGCTGAGGGGGCTACACCTCCCAGATTTGTCAAATTACTACATATAGTACAGCCGTCACTTCATATTTGGGCAGCTAGATGGTGTTTCAGTATTTTGTATACGTCTCGTTTTCCTATGAAATGTATTGTTATTTTATTCATTGATAATTTTAGCAGCGTTGCCTTCAGTTAACAAACTGATATCACTGAGTGCCGTTACAAACTATATTTTAACGTCCGATTTAACATTTCTGTTGATGTATATTCTTTCGAGATATTTGACTTTCATGTCTAAATGAAGAATATGAAATACCAATTAAGTAAAGAAAACTGAAGAATTTGGCCTTGCAAAATCCTTATCGTCAACAAATTAATCCTGTCATGTCAAAATATTCTTTATAATATGTTTTTTTGGTTTTGCATCTCTTGCAGCTCGTTATAGACGTTCTTCCTCTGTCTCTGCTGAATCAACATCCGTTGAGTCTAGTGAAACAGACTAAGAAGTTCATCGTCATCACATGACACAGGTCAAAGGTCATTACTTGGAATATCGTCTTGAGAAGAGACTAGAGATCATTATTCTATCGTCTGTTAGATCTCATATTTTTACCAATACTGTAATTAATTTCATCGAATTGAATGCAAACAAAAAACATGTATTTTATATATAAACTATTTTGCTAAAGCCCTCTATATGATATTGAAGTGAGTTTGAATCGATTACAGGGTGAACAAAATCACTTTATTCCAATGTTTTTGCCTTTATAAAAGGAACCATTAATACTAAGTGTTTAATGACACATTTCGTAATTTTATAATGAAGTTTACATAATATATTTAATCTAATTTATTTATTGTTCATTTCTTATTTATTTTCCATAGATACAAATCATAATCTATTTATTTTTAAACCAAATTCTCGAGAGACATATTTGAATGTTTATTGCTTTGTTTAATACATCGTGTTAATTATTTAAAAAAAAATATCTCATGAAATAATAATTCATTACTACAGTTAAATTTGCAATATCATTATTCTTGCATTATATATAATGCTTCGGTGTTATAAAATTGTACCAGCACAACTTTTGTGTACATTCATTTATTTCTTTACCCAGTCTTCTGAGCTGGCTTTTTATTTAGATACTAATATTATTCTTTCCCGATTTTTCTCATCCCTTTTTTTTTTTTTTTTTTTACTTGGCATAAACAACAAATGCATTGTATTCTAGATACTTACACTGATATAACTTATTTGAAATAAAAATCCTAACCAGAGAGAAAAAATAATGTCAAGATTGATTTGTGTTCCGCTCATCTCGAATGTGGTCGTGCTGGGATGTCGGAAAGTGTGTTTAAAGAGTTGAAGTATAGCATGCAATGGAAACAGATTATTTAATGAGAAAAGAATACGAAGAAAATGGACACGTAAATGCTACCAATTGGAAAGTGAAGTTATTCATCGAAGTGGAGAGAGATAGAGAGATAGAGAGAGAAAGAGAAAGAGAGAGAGAGAGAGAGAGGGGGGAGATAGAGAGAGAGAGAGAGAGATAGAGAGAGAGAGAGAGAGAGAGAGAAAGAGAGAGAGAAAGAGAGAGAGAGAGAGGGAGAGAGATAGAGAGAGAGGGAGAGAGAGAGAGAGAGAGAGATAGAGAGAGAGAAGGAGAAGGAGAGAGAGAGGGAGAGAGAGAGAGAGAGATAGAGAGAGAGGGTGAGAGAGAGATAGAGAGAGAGAGAGGGAGAGAGAGAGAGAGAGATAGAGAGAGAGGGAGAGAGAGAGAGAGAGAGAGAGAGAGGGAGAGAGAGAGACAGGGGGGAGGGAGAACGACATGTGAATTGGAATGCACGTTCATGAATTTGAATAAACAAAATTTGAGAAATTAGCCGCAAAAACCTATTTTTGGAGTGCATTGTAAATAGAAATGATGCATTTGCATAAAACTTTGCTTAATTGACTTTAAACATAATTGTAGTTAGGTTCCACAACAATCTTTTTCATTAGATCTTTGTAGTCGCAACATGTTGGTAAATGCTGTGAGCAGGTGGGGAGGTAAAAAAAACAACCATATATTGATATGATATTTTATGTTGATTACTTATCTAAGATTTTTATTTATAGAATTTGTGATTTTCCCATGGCACCTTTGCAATAAATTGAACATAACGCCAAGTTCCTTGTTTTGCTTTCGATTTATGTGAGACCTGGATGTTGAACCCATGTTGGGGTGTATGGAGGAAGACAGTGGGGGGGGGGGGGGTGAGGGTAAGGTGGGTGTAGGCGAGTGTGGGTAGGGGGAGTAGGCCTAACCCTTGTTGGTTAGTTTAGGATGGATGAGGGTGTAGTGAGTGGGAGTGGAGTGGAAGTAGGAGTGTGGGATTAAAGGGTGAGGTAAGTGGATGTGTGCATGGGGATGGGAGGAGAAGAGAGATGTGGGTAGTTTCGGATGGGGGTAGGGTGGGGGTGGGTGGTAGACAAGTACGCTGGTAAGAGCAGGTGAATGTGGTTTAAGTTTGGATAAGTGAGGGTGGGGGAGGTGGGGACAGGTGGGTTGATTAAGACGGCGCGTGTGGGTATGACGTGTACGGGTATGGAAAAGGGATGTTATATAGGTATTCGTGAATGTGGCCAAATAACCATGGTGTGAGTAAGTTATGTGAAGTGTGGGCGGGGGAGGGGGCAGGTGAATGTTGATGGGTGAGAATCAATGTATTGTGGGCGATGTTGTGAGCTAGGGAAATGGATTGGTGTCAGTGTGCTTTGAGTGTATATGAAGAAAAATGAAATTCTGAAAAAAAACTCCTCTTCTCGGGTCTGCTCCCCCTCTCTATCTCTCTCTCTTTCTCTCTTTCTGTCTTCACCTCATTCATCCCCTCAAATTAGACTTAGATGGTTGCAAGTTAAAGAAATAGATGGGGGAAAGAGACCCCTAGACCACCAGCAATGCATTTTGATTTATTCATGAGGCGGCGTCCATCCATCTCTAAAATGTTTAAATGTCCCCAAACAATGTGTGGATTCGAGCGACGCCACTGCCATGGTAATCAAGGGCACATGCAATTTTGTTAATTAACCATTATTTCATTTTGATAAAATACCAACAGTTGTTTTATCTGCAAAGGGGCGCAATATCAGTAAGGAGACTAATGTTATGACGCTACAATGGCAGTTAAGTGTTAACAACTACCATATCGGCCTTACATATCATTACCATATAGTTTTTTTCTACCAATTTCAAAATTCATTGTTTTCCTTCATCAGATCATTTTCTTTCTAAATCTTACATATCTTTTTCTTAATTGATAACATGTACACCTGGTACATACTATATATTATATGAAATGTTAATTGCCAACAAAGGTAATTTTAGAAAGCATGCATCCGGCCAAGTTAGTTGCTCGTTGCCAGAATATTTAAGAGCTGACATTTGCGAATAGTCTTTCCCAAATCACACTCAAAAGGTGATTAGGGGCGAGGTTTAATCCGGGTAACGGGGCATGGGGCAGTTCATCAATGTTTAATATTTTATTATACTACATAGATATTTGAAAATGTTTTGTTTAAATTTTTTTATCTTTTATTTAAAACGGTTCATGAATTCTTCTTTATTTATTTCAATCAATAAAGCGTTTACGGTGGTAAATATATTTAACAAATAAACGTACAAAGCAATAAAAGGAAAAAAAGGGAATTTGAGAATGGGAAAAAGCAAGAAGGGAGGGCACCAGGGCCCTGTATTACAAAGAGTTGATATCAATCGCAACTATGTACATAATAGATAGGCGATTACAAACTTGCGATTGATTGGAGGACTTGAGATTGATTTGGATCAATTGCAACTCTTTGTAAGACGGGGCCCAGAACCACATCCAGCCGAGCACCTTCCCGTAATCGTTAGTCTTGTATTTACACTGTTCGTTTTCAATAAGGTCTGTGCCCCCCTCACCCATCATTCCGTCCACTGCCCCATTAATGGGTAGAAACAAGCTACGCCAATGGTCACTCTTTGTATATTAAAAGAGAAAGCCGCCCTGATACTAATTTGAAAATGAGAGGAATATGTCAGTGAAAGCTTGGGCAAATGTCATGTATCCCGCGAGCTCCTCTCATATTTGCTCTGTACAATAAACATTTCATAACATTTCTTATTTTTAAACGGAATTTGCTAAAACTTTCTCTGTCCCATTTCTCTCTCATTTTTCTGCTTCTATCAAAACCTTCCTACACTCTAAGAAAAAAGGGTGCAAAAAAGGGTGCAAAATAAGAGTTTGCACCCTTTACATAAAAATGAACCCTATTGAAGGAAAAGGGGTTCAAAAAAGGGTGCAACATAAGAATTTGCACCCTTCCACAAAAATGAACCCTATCGACCAAAAAGGGTGCAAAATAAAAGTTTGCATATTGCATGCATATTCATGATTACTTTCCACGTTTTCACATAAAAATACATTCATCATGATTTGTTAAGCAAATTATGACAATGCACATCAATTTTGTGATTTGTATTTTCCTTTGGCAATCATTGACCAATAGATAATTTTGTCTGATCATGTAACAATTACATTCACGTTTTAGCAATAGATATATTGATTATATGATTACTAACCATGAAACATCTTGCATGTTTAATATGTATTTGTGTACGAGCAAATTTTACCAGTATTCCTCGATGATGGGTGCAAGATTGTACCGTTTAAAAGGTGCAGGATTGAACCCCTAAAGTTGCTGCTATTGCATCGGTTTGCACCCCTAAGGGTGCAGGATTGAACCCATAAAGGTGATGCTAGTGTTGCATCAGTTTGCACCCCTAAAGGTGCAGGAATGAACCATAAAGGGTACTATTTCCCCTAAAAGGTTCAATCTGGCACCCTTTTAAAGGGTGCAGTATCGCACCTTTAAAAATGGTGCAGGATTTAACCCCTAAAGGTGCTGCTATTGTTGCATCGGTTTGCACCCCTAAAGGTGCATACTTGCACCATTTTTTCTTAGTGTGTAATATCAGGTTAGACTTCCCTTTTGAATTTAACCTCTTAAAGCCCATCTGTACTAGTTTACAGGAAGGATCAAACCGCCCTGCAAGGTCACTGGACAGGTGGTTATCTCATCCACTCAGCTCTCAATTAACATAGAAAAAGAGGATCATGGGGGACCAATGGTCACCGATAAGCCATTGTTTGCTATATAGAGGGCGCATGTATCTATAAGTAGTGCAGTGGGGCGTTAAAGGTAGCTATTATGTATTATCGATCCAACAATGCAATAATATGACAGTTTTCCACGAAATTTGAACAAACACCTTGTGATGTTGGCTTTCAGCCAAAAGGTTTCCAAAATTATAATTATAATTCACTTTTGATTCCGTTTGCATCGCTACATGCCCTATTATTAATTTGTCTACCTACCCTTCAACTGTCGTTCTGATCCCATTGCTTAATGAATAAGCAGTGGTGTAAATTGTGAAATAATTACATGTGAAATTATAAAATATGAAATGACAGCTTAATTAGTCAACAATATATGTTTTCGAGAAGGAAAATTAACATTTTATTGACTTTTATTCTCCAACTGTCATTTTGAAATATCACTTAATTCCAGCCTTGTGTTTTCTAGATCATATGTCAAACTTCATTTTGCATGTATGAACCTGCCCCCTCCCCAAATCTCAAATCTGATTGTTTTAAGATCCTATAAAAGGAGACGATATGACTTGTTTCATCATTAACTCATCAACCATCAATACTTCACTAGCTCTAGATTCAAAGCATCCGACTCTACAAAACATCTAAAATGGCTTCAATGGTACGTATAATTTTCGTCTAATAATCTATTCAGGCACAATTTAACCTTTTGATGACGTTTAGGTGTTATTCTCTTTTTTGGTAGAATACTACGAATAACACATACTAGCCTAATATTGCTTAGAACTAGTAAGTATTTTTAAAAAAAAGGTAATATACGAAAATAATCATTAAATCATCTCCTAGCAAACGGTATATGAGTTTATCTTTACTATTTGATAAACCGGTTGTAATTTTTGTTCCAATATTTTGCAGTTTTCTTTTACATAATCGTCACTCTTTAATACATGTATGTGTACGTTTTAACACTGACTCTAGAATGTTCGGGAGAAAGAAAAATATGTACAATTATATTTGGTGTCAATTTGAGGAAGCAAAAGGGATTCAATCAGATCATGGAACTTCCTAGACCTCCACTGAAATTAGCAAGCAGGCTCACTCCCGGGATAATAAATATTCCATGACAAATAATGTATGTTTACACATTATCAACTCCAAACAATAATTAATTTATCATATATTTGATTTCCTTTCCAGGTAAAGGTCCTGTCCGTATGTCTGTGTCTCATTGTCTGTGTTGCACTGGAAGTCAAAGGTAACAATTTAAATATATCAACATTTGTTTCATTTATTTATTTATTTTTTGTTGGGGGGGGGGGGTGGGATCATACTGCATATGCATAATTGGGGTGTGGGGGTTATTGGGGCTGCAGCTCCTGACAATATTTCCAGTATTCGGACCAACGTCACCATATTATTCCGACAGCAGAGTTTTCCTTTCGTATTTTGTATTATATATATATATATATGTTGATGACGAGATTAAATGTTCACGTAAAAAAGTGTCACTCGCTTCACTCGACCCTGACAAAAACACAACATTTACTAGAAACGTTTGGGCAAGAAGTTACAACAGAAGTAGTCACTGAGCAAAATATGAAGCAATACGTGTTAGCTCTAAAAGACCTTCCTGTCTCAAAGAAAAATATATTTTGCCTTCGTAAATATTCTGCCAGTTTGCGATGCGTTTTAGTCAACCGTATGAAAAAAGGATTCAAAGAAAGTAAATTTGAAAACAAATTTTAGAACCAGATTTCTTAAAGTGTCATTAATTCCTCCTATTTATAGCCCAAACCACTGATCGCACTTCGGAGTTTCAAGCCCTCTGTGATAGATACAGAACGGTGATGAACGACTGTGAAGAAAGACTTCTAGAGGTGGTGACTGCCGATGAGCTGGCTTTGGTGAATTTAGTCGAACAAAATAAGGTGTGTTTGGAAGAGGAAGGTGAAACGAAATTTACGGATGCTTGTGAGATCTTGGAAGAAGTCTGTATCCGAGTTGTGTCCTGCCCTGCTACAGGTGAGTCTTGTTTAGGGGCGGATCCACGTAGCGATTATTCCGGCCCGCCCCCCCCCCCTAGCCCCCCAAAACGATAAAAAAAATAGGATAATAACGTAAAGTTAACCTTTATAAAACAAAAAACAAAAGCGCCCCCCCCCCCGCTTATTCGCCGGCCGGCTGAGTCGGCACTAAATTTTGTATTAAGATTTGGCTACCCCCTCCCTCCTTGACGCCGTCTGGATCCTCTGCAGGCGCGGATCCACGGGGGGGGGGGGGGGGGGGGGGCTAACGGGTCAACAGAAAAAAAATTAAAAAAAATTCTCACGAATTAGGTGAGAAAAAAAAAACCCAAAATAGTGGTCTCACCCCCCCCCCCCCAGCTTATTCACCGGCTGACTGAGTCGGCGCAAAAATATTTCCTGAAAAATTGGACCAAAAAAAGTGCCTCCTACCCCCCCCCCCCCCCCCCCCGCTCATCACTGGTGGCTGAGTCGCAACTAATATTTTTTTCACGGATTGGGCCCCCCCCCCCCCCCCACCCCTCTTCCCGCCGGCTGGATCCGCCACTGGTCTTGTTAAAGTCAGTTTCGAGTAAGTTTTGGTCATAATTTTATGTCAAACGCAACATGTCAGAGCGCATAGCGGGGGATGTAATTAGAGTAACATCAAACTGAGAGAGAGAGAGAGAGAGAGAGAGAGAGAGAGAAAGGGTAGGGGGCTGAGGGGGCTGAGGGGGCTGAGGGGGCTACACCTCCCAGATTACCAAATATAGTACAGCCGTCACTTCATATTTGGGCAGCTAGATGGTGTTTCAGAATTTTGTATACGTCTCATTTTCCTATTAAATGCATTGTTATCATATTCATTGATAGTTTCATTCAAGCAGGGTTGATTTTCAGTTAAAACAAACTGATATCACTGAGCGCCGTTACAAACTAATAAAGTGCGTAATATTTTAACTTCCGATTTAACATTTCTGCTGATGTATATTCTTTTGAGATATTTGACTTTCATGTCTAAATGAAGAATATGAAATACCAATCAAATAAAGAAAACTGCGTCAACAAATTAATGCTATCATGTCAAAATATTCTTTATAATATGGTGTTCTGGTTTTGCATCTCTTGTAGCTCGTTATAGACGTTCCTCCTCTGTTTCTGCTGAATCAACATCCGTTGAGTCTAGTGAAACAGACTAAGAAGTTCATCGTCATCACATGACACAGGTCGAAGGTCATTACTTGGAATATCGTCATGAGAAGAGACTAGAGATCATTATTCTATCGTCTGTTAGATCTCATATTTTTACCAATACTGTAATTAATTTCATCGAATTGAATGCAAACGAAATACATGTATTTTATATAAAAACTATTTTGCTAAAGTCCTCTATATGACATTGAAGTGATTTTTAATTGATTACAGAGTGAACAAAATCACTTTATTCCAATTTTTTTGCCTCTATAAAGGAACCATTAATACTAAGTAATTTTATGATGAAGTTTACATAATATATTTAATCTAATTTATTTATTGTTCATTTCTTATTCATTTTCCATAGATACTAATCATAATCTATTTATTTTTAAACCAAATTCTCGAGAGACATATTTGAATGTTTATTGCTTTGTTTAATACATCGTGTTAATTATTTGAAAAAAATATCTCATGAAATAATAATTCATTACTACAGTTAAATTTGCAATATCATTATTCTTGCATTATATATAATGCTTCGGTGTTATAAAATTGTACTAGAACAACTTTTGTGTACATTCATTTATTTCCTTACCCAGTCTAATGAGCTGGCTTTTTATTTAGATACTAATATTCTTCTTTCCCGATTTTGTTCAATCTGTTTTTACTTGGCAGTAACAACAAATGCAATGTACTCTAAATACTTTCACTAATATAACTTATTTGAAATAAAAATCCTAACCAGAGAGAAAAAAATGTCAAGAATGATTTGTGTTTTGCTCATCTCGAATGTGGTCGTGCTGTGATGTCGGAAAGTGTGTTTAAAGAGTTGAAGTATAGCATGCAATGGAAACAGATTATTTAATGAGAAAATAATACGAATAAAATGGAAACGCAAATGCTACCAGGTGGAAAGTACAGTTAATAATCGAAAGAGGAGAGAGATAGAGAGAGAGAGAGAGATAGAGAGAGAGAGAGAGAGAGAGAGAGAACGAAAGAATAAGAATAGAAAAAGGAGAGACAGAGAGAAAGAGAGAGAGAGAAATAGAGAGAGGTAGAAAGAGAAAGAGAGACAGAAACAGAGAGACAGACAGACGGAGACAGAGAAGAGGGAGAGGCGGAGCGAGGGGGGATTTTGAGGGGGGATGTTGAGGGGGTGAGGAGTGAAAACACGATATGAAGAGTACATGAAGCAAACAGAGCCAGCTATATAGTGTAACATGACACAATTAGATTTCAATTCAATTCTAAGATAAAAGTACCGACAATTATGTTATGAACGCATCGATAGTGGCATCGAAAGTGGCATATCTTCACTGTAGCTAAATACAGTTGTTAGCATTAATATTAAATCAGCATTTAAACAAAATCACATGATGCTTTGCCCATCTACACTCTGTTGCGGCCATCACAATTTTACTCACATCGAGATGATATGCCTACTGCACACGAGGCGTGCTTATACTGACTTAGTGCTGCGTCAAGGACGTTGACGCACCATGTACGAATTATATCATCCATGGTGCGCTGTGTCAATGATTGATTTCATATCAAGAGGAATGCAAAAAATGAAGAGTGTGAACATCGCTTTCCATTTCAAGCAATTTCACTAATTGACGTGACCGGTTTGATTAACGCAGGTATCAACGCAAGTACAATGGGCATTACGATGAACAACGTAACTGGCGCTAAAAGTGCATTGTTACGTAAATATTGGTTTGAGAAGAAGAAAAAACATCCATAATCCTCGAATAAACCACTGTTCTTTCCTTCACCTTAACAACAGCTGTCTAATACGAGGGCAAATCTTATGACGTCATTGTTTTTCAGCAAAGACAGCAATATACTGTAATAAAACAATGTAATATCATTGCCCATTTTAGTCTTGATACTCTGCCAGCTTCATTCAAAATATATGATATAAAGATCAAGACTTGCCAGGTTAACCAGCATGTTGTCTTGGAAATGCGGAGGGAACAAGTAAGTTTGGGGCCTAATAAAAGTTCGTGTCGTTCAGAATTGACCCTTAATCCCCGCTGCACTACGTACAGCTACTTGCGCCCTCTATATAGCAAACAATGCCTAATCGGTGACCGTTGTTCCCCCATGTCCCATTTTTCTTATGTTAATTGAGAGCTGATTTGATGAGATAACCACCTGTCAGTGACCATGCAGGGAGGTCTAATCCCTCCTGGCAAAACTAGTGCAGATAGGCTTTAAACTAAACCAACCTTTAACAAACGCAAACGTTGCATGATATGACGATATTAAAAGACATTACAACTAGCCAATGACGGCGTAAGTGGGCAAACGGGGGGGGGGGCATCTTGTTCGATACCTCCCCCCTCCCAATTAACAAGAAGGGTAAGATACTTTAGAAATTGATGATTCCTTTTGTGTATAGATATTGTTTTAGAACTACGCTGAAACGAACGAGCAAACAAGCGAACAAACAAAAGACAAACAGACGAATAAATAAACCCCTTCAGGCCACTTTGACATAATCGAATAATCATAATATATGCCCCCCCCCCCACCCCTAACCCCAACTTTTATTTGTACCTCAAAATACTTCGACAAGTTTGGAGGCACATCGGTGTCTGAATCTTTGCACCAGGGGTGTGGGTTGTCACTGCTCTCATAATCGTCACTACCATGATCTTCACATTATTGTCACTATCAGCATCATCATCTTCATGATCAATCGTCATCATCATCACCACAACTATCATCATTATTACCACCATCTCGATTATCACCATCATCCTCATCATCATCATCATCATCATCATCATCATCATCATCATCATCATCGGTGTCGTCTTCATCACCAGCATCATCATCGTCATCATCATCATCATCATCATTACTATCATCACCACATTATCATCATCTGCATGATCATGTTAACCCTTATCACCATCATCATTATCGTCAAATCATCATCATCAATGAAACAAATACATGTACCATCTTTTCCACCATTATCGTCATCATCCTCATAATCTTCATCACCACCATCATTAGCGGAATCCCCACCACAAACACCGCCGTCAGCAACAGCAGCATCAACAACACCACCATCAATATCATCATCATTATACTCTAACAAAATATAATTTTTAAGAAGAAATCTATGCAATTGCTAAAAATAAATACATTTATTTAAAAATCTGATACATTATTTCTTTTACACATTGATATTGTTCCAATAAGGAGGACACGAAAATATATGCAATATACGGTAAAAGACGGAGTAGGAAAAGAAGAAGAAGAAGAAGAAGAAGAAGAAGAAGAAGAAGAAGAAGAAGAAGAAGAAGAAGAAGAAGAAGAGGAAGAAGAAGAAGAAAAAGAAGATGAAGAAGAAGAAGAAGAAGAAGAAGAAGAAGAAGAAGAAGAAGAAGAAGAAGAAAGAAGAAGAAAAAAGAAGATGAAGAAGAAGAAGAAGAAGAAGAAGAAGAAGAAGAAGAAGAAAAAGAAGATGAAGAAGAAGAAGTAGAAGAAGAAGAATAGGAAGAAGAAGAAGAAAAAGATGAAGAAGAAGAAGAAGAAGAAGAAGAAGAAGAAGAAAGTAGAAGAAGAAGAAGAAGAAGAAGAAGGAAAAAAAGAAGGAGGAGGAGGAGGATAAGAAGAAGAAGAAGAAGAAGAAGAAGAAGTAGTAGAAGAAGAAGAAGAAGAAGAAGAAGAAGAAGAAGAAGAAGAAGAAAAAGAAGATGAAGAAGAAGAAGAAGAAGAAGAAGAAGAAGAAGAAGAAGAAGAAAAAGAAGATGAAGAAGAAGAAGAAGAAGAAGAAGAAGAAGAAGAAGAAGAAGAAGTAGAAGAAGAAGAAGAAGAAGGAAAAAAAGAAGGAGGAGGAGGAGGAGGAGAAGAAGAAGAAGAAGAAGAAGAAGAAGAAGAAGAAGAAGAAGAAGAAGAAGAGGAGGAAAAAGAAGAAGTCAAAGAAGAACAAAAAATGAAAGAGCTCAGCGTTCTCGTTGACCTATAAAGACCGAGGAAATAGCACCAAAAATTTATAAGATTTAGGATGTTCTGTTTAATTTAATCGAGCTCAAGACTGCAGTCTTCAACACTTGATTTTCGAAAGTGAGATTTACAGGATTGGAATATTTATCCGGGCAAGATGTTTCCAGAGGTTCTGTGCTTGTTGATTGACTTCAATTATTCTTTTATTTCACAAATTTCTTCGAGCTTCTTTTCACCGGTATTTTCTTCTCCATAAGTGGTTCTGGAAGAACAAAAATATTTGAACAAAATTATATTGATGGTAAATAAATCAAGGAGAGGGGGAAACAATTAGAAACATCATCATCAACGACAAAAAAGCGTTTTCGTAGCTCAACGACCTTCAATGAAAATGAAAATCATCACGCTCACGATATTCAGACCTGTAATCATTGAGGTCATTATCGTCACTAGCACCGTTGTCATCAATATTGTCGCTGTCGTTTCGTCGTTTCGTCAGTCGTCATCATCATGATCACCACCTACATCATCCCACTCCTCATAATCATAATCATTGCCACACATCGACAACTACCCACAATTAAAAAGACAAACTAATTCAATCATTTCCGTTGAAGTAGTAAGAGGGTAATAGGGTAATTTAATAAAGGGCTCATTGTCCGATGGTGAATGTCCTTAAGGATAAACGTTATTATCCGCTCGTTATAGACCTTGTAGGTAGCTGTCCGGGTACCGGTCGATTTATCTAGTAAATTTTTGATTTCTGATTATATATATATATTTTAGGGGGGTTGTTAGCATCCGAGGTTGGAGGGAATGGGGTATTATCTGAGGGTGAAAAGGTGGGGATTTACTTACGAACATATGGACATTCCATGAGCTCTCCGAGCTGCATGTAGTCACATAGGTGCGCAATCACGTTACAGGCCGAGTCGAACCGAAGCAGCGAACCCTCGTTCTCGTACCCCGTGCAATACGCCTTGTTGTCGGCGGCCTCGATGAACACCTTGGCCTTTTCGGAATGCTTCTTCAGCCCATCGGTGAGCTCATGGGTACACTTCATGTCA